TTCTCATCTCCAAAAAAGTCCCAGGAAGGGCTATTTCATGCCCATTCTTAAGTCATCTCACTCTGCCCAAGAGGATGCCATCTCCCGCTTTGCCAGGTGGGGTGGTGGGACCGGCCCTTTGCAAGCCTTATGGGCTAAGCAAAGGGGTATTTTGGGGAAGCTGCACATTTTGCTCAATTCCCTCTACTATTTTTGTGCCCAAAGTACTTTTTGTTGAGGATAATGTTCAAAAGTTGTTCCTGTACACAGCAGGGTATGAAACCAGATACATTTCAACAACAGGAATATTTTGAACGAGGTTTTCAAGGTTTATTCTCCAATGACCAAAAAGTGTTTAAAAGTGGAACATACTATCTTCCGGTTAATCCAGACTTTGTAGCCTGTACAAAGCATTCACTTTCCTGAACCATCTGCTGTACCTCACAGAAGCCCTGACATAAAACCTCCGATTTTTCCTAAGGTTCCCCGTTAACCATACTATGCCCATGAATCCCTTTCTTTTGCATTAGAGCTATAAACTGCTTTCTATTTCCAGATGAACTTTCAAGAATGTTGGAACGTCTTCCCTACTCATCTTGCTTCTCTTCCTCCCTCTCAGGACTTACAACAGGCACCGCCCAGGCCAATGGTCAGATTCCCCAGGCTGCATACCCAGCGAGTGCTGTTCCTGAGGAAGCCCAGAGACACGTTGACACAGCTAAGGTAGGCCCAAGAGTAACTGACACACCTCTATCCAACCATCCCCTGTAAACCCACATTCCAAACCATAAGTGGTGTTCGAATAACTGGCCTTTTAAAAGAGAATACAGTAGTTAGTTCCAACGACTAAGGCCCTATAACTTCATTTAGATAATTGCTTTATATATTTTTTATCTTAAAACTACATAGGCTGGAATGGAAAGTTAAACCAACTGCCATCACACTGCTTTGGGGAAATGTACAATTTCTGTATTAATGCTGAGGATTGACAACTCTTTTTAATTTAGCTACATGTATCTGGCTGAAGCGATTTTCTTGTTTTAGTCAATGGCTTTAGACTCTCTGAAAGTGTCCTGGGTTTTTGTTTTTTTTTTTAATATATTTTTTATTGATTAAGATATTACATATGTGTCCCTGTCCCCACATCACCCTCCACGCCCCCCAACCCCCCGCTCATGCCCTCACCACTCCCCCGTTGTCCGTGTCCATTGGTTAGGCCTCTA